CAAAGATGGTAACAATAATGCTTTGTTCTTAACTAAACGTTTTTGAAGCTCAAAGCTCTCTTCTCATATTAAAGGGTATCTTTTTGTAGGTACCATGTTCCACGTTCGTGGTTGAAGCCAAGAGGGAACTTATTAGTACTCTTTGAAGAACTTGGTGGAGACGTTTCCAAAGTCTCTGTTGTGAAAAGATCAGTGAACTAACTTACAAATAACTCTTATATTGTGTGTGCATTATAACGAAGCATTACTCATGCTGTGTTTAAATTATCTCTCTTTGTGATCAGAAACCGGAATTGAAAATCGCGATAGTTATAATACAAAAATGTGCAGTAGAAATATAACCTTTGTAGTAGCAATACTAAATGGAATCAAGCATAAGCATCAAATATGTGTGAACTAAGATTGTGAATGAGACATTGATATGTATAATTATGGTCCAGTCTCGTCGATCATGAAAGATATGACTTAGTAAAACTTTCAAAGAATGGTGGAGCCAAACATTAAAAGTCAACTTATGTACGCGTCTTGAGAACAGAACTTGTAAGAGTAGTGGAACCTACAAGATAAGCTCAATACAGTTTTGTGGCTCACATAAGTAGAACTCTGTTTCAAGATTCTTACTCTTGTTTTTAGTAATTCTTTCTTTACATAGCTCTCTGTGATAATAGATCCTCTCTCACACATCATACTAATGGATTCTTATATTTTCCTTAGTGGTGTTGTTACTGCAATAGCCATACTTTTTGGTGCAATATTTCTACTGTTTTATAGAAAATTTAGATTCCATACAGAAGAAAACATAACAGTTTCTTCTGTATCTTCTTCATCTTCTTTGTCTCGAAATTGGAAACACCATGTCTTCCCGAGCTTCCACGGGGGAGATGTTCGTAAAGCATTTCTCAGTCACATCTTGAAAGAGCTCAAAAGCAAGGGAATAGATCCATTTATTGACAATGATATCGAGAGAAGTAAGGCGATAAGTCCTGCGCTCATCGAAGCAATAAGAGGGTCGAGGATCGCGATTGTTTTGCTCTCTAGGAACTATGCTTCTTCGACGTGGTGCTTGAACGAATTGGTGGAGATCATGAAGTGCATGGATGAGTTGGGTCAAATAGTGATGACTATTTTCTATGAAGTGGATCCATCAGAGGTAAAGAAGCAAGCTGGAGATTTTGGGAAGGTCTTTAAAAAAACTTGTAAAGGTAAAACAGTAGAAGACATTGGAAAATGGAAAGAAGCTTTGGCAAAAGTGGCCACAATAGCTGGTTACCATTCAAGCAACTGGTTTGTTCTTTTGATTTTAACCAATGTTAACTAGCTAAGAAGTTTTGCTTTTATATTAGTTTTCTTGACTATTTAAAATTTGTATATTTCATGCTCCTTTGTTATTAGGGATACTGAAGCAGTCATGGTTGAAAGAATCGCCACTGATATCTCGAACAAGTTGAACCATTCCACGCTATCTCGTGATTTTGTCGACTTAGTTGGGATGGGAGCTCATATAGAGAAAATTAAACCGTTGTTATGTCTAGAGTCAGATGAAGTGAGGATGATAGGGATTTGGGGACCATCTGGGATTGGTAAGAGCACCATTGCTAGAGTTCTATTTAGTGAACACTCTCATCAATTCCAGCTTAGTGTCTTTATGGAGAATATCAAAGTTCGCTATCCAAGGCCTTGCTACGATGAGTACAGCGCGAAACTGAACTTACAAAAAGAATTCTTGTCTCAAACATTCCACCATGATGTTACTGAGATTCCTCATTTAGGTGTTCTTCAAGAAAGGTTGAATGACAAAAAAGTTCTTGTTATTCTTGATGATGTGGATAGGTTAGGACAGCTACATGCCTTGGCGAAAGAAATTTGTTGGTTTGGTCCTGGGAGTCGAGTTATTATCACAACCGAAGATCGGAAACTTTTAATGGGACATGGGATCAACCATATTCATAAAGTGGATTTTCCATCTTGTGATGAAGCCGTTCAAATATTTTGCATGAATGCTTTTGGTCAAAATTCTCCTAAAGGTGGTTTCGAGCAGCTTGCTTGGGAAGTTGCAAATCTTGCAGGTGCATTGCCACTAGGATTAAAGGTTATGGGCTCGTATTTCCGGGGAATGTCTAAAGAGGAGTGGAAAAGTTCACTATCAAGGTTAAGGACAAGCCTTGACGGTGAAATCGAGAGCATTTTAAAGTTTAGTTATGACGCCTTGAGTGAAAAAGATAAAGATTTATTCCTCCATATAGCCTGCTTTTTCAACCATAAAGAAATGGAGAAAGTGGAAGAGCATCTTGCAAAAAATTCTTGGATGTAAAGCATGGACTTCACGTCTTAGCCGACAAATCTCTAATATCTATCGACTCGAGATATATGGAGATGCATAATTTGTTAGCCCAACTAGGTAGAGATGTTGTTTACAAACAATCTATTAATGAGCCTGGACAACGTCAGTTTTTGATTGATAGTAGAGAGATTTGTGAAGTATTGACTGATGATGCAACGGTAAGTTTGGACATTAGCCTTAAACTGCTATATTTCCTACAATTGTAATTTTTGACAACTAATCATCACCTTTTTTCTTTTTCTTTCCAGGGTAGTAGAAATGTTTTAGGCATAGAACTCAATTTTGGTGAGGCTGAGGATGAATTGAATATAAGTGAAAGAGCCTTTGAAGGAATGTTCAATCTACAATACTTAAGAATCTATAGTGATCATGTACATCCTGACAAAATGTTTTTACCGCAAGGTTTGAGCTATCTATCTCGTAAACTTCGATTATTGCATTGGATTCATTTTCCAATGACATCTTTGCCTTCTATTTTTAACACGGAGTTCCTAGTCGAACTAGTCATGTGTCATAGCAAGCTTGAGAAGTTGTGGGAAGGAGTTAAAGTAAGTAACTAATCTTTATTTATGGTTCTTAAACATGTTAAACTACTACCTTAAATCTTTGATCTGGATTTTTCTTATGTTTACATATCTTTAGCGTATAAAATATAAATGGCGCCGTGATGACCTTCAATGTTTTATGAATGGTTGTGTGTACTACTAAGTGTATCTCGGTATTTGTATATGCATAAAGTTTATCTTTCTTTTATTTGTACAGCCTCTACCAAATCTCAAGTGGATGGACTTGAGTTCTTCTATAAACCTGAAGGTGCTTCCTGATCTATCTACAGCCACTAATCTTAAAGAACTAGATTGTAGTTTTTGTCCAGGTCTAGTGGAGCTCCCTTGGTCTATTGGGAATGCTATTAATCTTGAGATCTTGAATCTTTATGATTGTTCAAGTCTGGTGAAATTACCTTCTTCTATTGGGAATTCTATTAATATCAAGAAATTTAACTTCCGCGGATGCTCAAGTCTTGTGGAGCTCCCTTCTTCTATTGGGAATGCTACTAAGCTCGAGGAATTGGAACTTGGTTATTGTTCAAGGTTGGTAGAGCTTCCCTCCTCTATCATGAATGCTAGAAATCTCAAGGAGTTGTATCTTTATAACTGCTCAAGTCTTGTGGAGCTCCCTTTCTCTATCGAGAGTTTCTTTAACCTCAAGAAACTTAAACTAAGTGGATGCTTAAATCTAATCAAGCTTTCCTCTTCTGTTGGGAATGCCACTGATCTCAAGGAACTGGATTTTAGTTTTTGCTCAAGTTTGGTAGAACTCCCTTCATCTATTGGGAATGCTACTAATCTCGAGTTATTAGATCTTAGAGGATGCTCAAGTCTTGTGGAACTGCCTTCCTCTATTGGAAATGCCATAACTAATCTAGATAGGTTGGATTTTAGTGGATACTCAAGTTTGGTGCAAATTCCTTCCTCTATTGGTCATGCCATTAATCTCAAGTATTTGGAATTCAGCGGATGCTCAAGCCTTGTGGAACTCCCCGCCTCGATTGGAAACTTTCATAAATTGTCCTCACTGACTATGAAAGGATGCTCAAAGTTTAAGCTTCTTCCAATGGATATCAACTTGCAATCTCTAGACGCGCTTATTCTTACCGATTGCTATGTGTTCAGAACCTTTCCCGAGATTTCCACAAACATTAGCTATCTTGATCTCAGTGGAACTGCAGTAGAAGAGGTACCATCATCAATCACCTTGTGGCCGTGTCTTGAGACATTTCATATGTCATACAGTGAAAAACTTAAGGTATATCCGGATGCTCTTGACAGCATCACAGACCTTTACTTGAGTGATGTGAAAACACAAGAAGTTGGTACATGGGTCAAGAGAATCTCTCGTCTTCGCCGCCTAGTACTCAAGGGATGCAACGAGCTCTTGTCCCTCCCACAGCTTCCAGATTCCTTAGCAGAGTTAGATGCAGAAAATTGTGAGTCTCTGGAAAGACTAGATTGTTCCTTTCTTGATCCGCGTATTATTCTCAACTTCGCTAACTGCTTCAAACTGAATAAAGAAGCAAGAGATGTAATCATCCAGACATCAACTTGCGAAGTTACGGTCTTACCCGGGAGAGAAATGCCAACTTACTTCACATATCAAGCTAATGGAGATTCCTTGAGAGTAGAGTTGAATGAGATCATGCCTTTCCCTTCATCCTTGATATTTAAGGCTTGCATCTTATTGGTTAAGAAGACTGACGCTGAAGCTTGTGATGATGAGGACATGGTGTTCCTAGATTGTTACATCATGGACAAACAAAATAGCTTTGATGTCCCGTGCAGTCCAAGTAACCACATTATACCTCCCCCTTTAGCAGAGCATCTATACATCTTTGAATTTGAAGCAGATGTGACTTCCAATGATCTTTACTTTGAATTCAGCATCAGTAGTGTTGAATGGGTGATAAAAGACTGCGCGGTGCATAACGTTAGAGAATCCGGATAACTCATACTTGAGTCTCTTCACTCTCATGGACTTGAAGAGAGCATCATAGGTAACTAACTAAACTACTCAATATAGTGTTTGTGCATTACACTAAAGCATGACCCTCTTTGTGATTAGAAACCAAATTTGTAAAATTCGACATAGCTATAAACAAATGTGTAGTAGAAATGCATCACTCTTATTTCATACGAAACATAAAAGACTTTGAAGTTGTAGTGATTAGGATACAAAGATTTGGAAACTGAAAAAAACAATTTAAGCAGAAGCAATAAGACCACCATGCTTCATCAGCTTCTCATGGATATCATCTTTGGCAGCACCGACAACACGGTCAACGATTTCGCCTTCTTTCATGAAAACAAAAGTAGGCATTGCCTCAACTTTGAATTCTTGAGCAACAGATTGCAACTCATCAACATCAATCTTGAAGAAGACAACATTGGTGAACTTCTTAGCCATGTCTGCAAAGACTGGGGCAATGAAACGGCAAGGTGGACACCATGAAGCTGTGAAGTCTATCACAATCTGTTTCAATCAAGATTTCAGAACAAATCATTAGACTTAAGTAACCTTATCAAATCGAAGAAACCATAAAACAGGACAAGAGAATGTACATTTCTATCAATTTCAGACCAAATCAGAGCTCAAAGATAATTCACCACTTAAGCTAACTAAACAAGAAGAACCTAAAAACCTTAGCAACGTAATCAAATCAAATCAAAGAAACCCTAGACAGGACAAGAGAAAGTACCAGGTTCTACTATCAATTTCAGACCAGATCAAGATATAGGACAAGAACACGATCAAAAATCAAGATTTGCTTCTATGGAACATCATCCACCACAAAGCTAACTAATCAAGAAAACCCTAGACACCTAAGTAACGTTACCAAATCAAATTAAAGAAGCACTAGACAAGACAAGAGAAAGTAGTACAGTGTTTATCAATTTCAGATCACAAACAGAACTCAACTAAGCTAACTAATCAAATCACAAATCTGTTTCAAATCTGAGACCAAAGACAAAACCTCAAATCAAAACTCAAACATCATCCACCCCTTAATCAAAACAAAACCCTAAATACCTAAGTAACGTAACCAAAATCAAATTGAAGAAGCCCTAGACAGGACAAGAGATGGTACCAATATCTATCGATCTATCTATCAATCTCAGACCAAATCAAGATAAGGGACAAGAACGTGATCATTAACAACTAATCAAGAAAAAACCCTAAGTAGCGTGATGAGATCAAACTGAAGAAACCCTAGAGGAAAAAACAAAGGTACCAGTTTCTTGGATTCGTTGGCGTCTTTGACCTTCTCGTTCCAAACATCGAGTGTGTGGCAAGCAATCACTTCTCCTTCTCCAGCCATTGTTTTGCTTTTCTCTTCTTCTTCTTCTTCTAAAGCTTTGGTTTGATAAGACTTTTTGTTTGGTGAATGAATGAAATGAAAATATTGAGATCAGCTTTTATAGGAAAAAAAACAGGGTAAGAAGACTTAAGACCAAACCATTTTATTACATCTTCTTTGGTCTTTATTATAATCCAAAAAATATATATTTCTGTGATCGTGACACGTACAAAATGTGAATAGATCCAACGGCTGATAATAAAATAGATTAAGAAAAAGTCAAGAGTCTAAGGTCAACGGCGTAATGAAGCGATGCTGGTAAGGTAACGAACGTTCTAGATTAAAGAAGAGAAGACCGCGTGTTATCTGTGTGTGTGCACGAATTGAGTTTTTATCCGTTTTTTTATTTTATTTTCTTAGTCTTTAGAGATATAATATAAAAAAAAAATTTTGGTTAAACATATAATATAAATTTTTCGGTACAAATATAAAACTTTTTATTAGTTGTGATAATATGTAAAGACTATTCTGAGTTTAAGACGGCAAAATTGAATGTTAATTTAACATAATCATATATTATCTTTCTCGAATCTTAGGGGTCTAAGTTATTGGACAACTAGGCCTAGTTATTCGGTTTCGAATGTTTTAGATTATAGTAATAACTAATATAGTAATCATTCAAATATCCTTTGGTTTGGTTTGGTTTGGATTGGGTTGGTTCGGTTTGGGTTGATTTGGTTTAATTCGGATCGGTTTGGTTCAGTACGGACCGTACTATAGGATTATCCAATACTTTTGATTTCTACCTAGTTTATTATGTATTAGTTATAAACTTATAAACTTCTAATCAATAAATATTTTTTCATTCCAATTAATAAAATTTAATTGATTGCGATTTCAAATCATAAAATTGTGTTTATTGTTTTGCGATTAGAGTAGTTTATTATTATTTAGTTTTGAGGAATTCGAAAACTTCTATGTCAAAGAGAAGCTTTGATTCGGAGTTCAAAATTGGCTTCGAGACAACGTTTGAAATTTGAGTTTACTCTAATTGCAAAACAATAAAAAGATTTTTTTTTGAAAAATACCCTTTTTGGTGTACCTTTTTTCAAAAATACAATTGTTATGTTTCCATTAAAAATACCCATGTTTAAATATGAAAAGTTATAAAGTTTTATATGATTTATAAAGAAATTCTAGATAATAACTATTACTGGAATAGTCAATCCAAATAATTTATAACGTTTTAAAAGTTTTAGATCGTTTTTACAAGGTTTTTAAATGGGGTAATAAAGGTTTTAAAAGGTTTTTATTATGTATTTTTATTATATTCATGAAAGATATATAAAATTTTACACACATATAATGATAATTTTTGTGTATATTTATAAATTTACACACATAGTTGGATAAATTTTAACGTTTTTAGTGGATTTTTTTGATAAAATTTGAAAAGGGTATATTTGAAAAGAGGTATTTGAAAATGGGTATTTTGAAAATCCTCCAACTATTAAAAAAAATTTACTATATTTTAAATTGTAATTAATTGAATTTAGCTAACTGAAAATAATTTTATAGATTATGTGGAACTAGGATATTTATAAGTAATATGTATATGATAAATTGGATGTAGGCTAAAGTACATGGTAATTCCTAAGTGAGTAACTTATACTAGAATCATGACAAGTTTCAAGTATATTAATCAATACTGACATGTGTCAAAAAAAGGTAGTCCGTTTATTTTAAAGTAGTTAAAACTAATTAAGAAACAAATATGTCTACATATAACTTATATTTTCTATTGTATATGTGTTCTCAATTAGATTCTGACATTATCAAAAAATAAATTAAATCATTAAGCATGAATATTAATTAATCAATAACAATGAATGGTAATTTTTTAAAACAATATAATTTATTTAACATAGTTTTAATTGGATACAAATAATATTTATATGAGGCGTGAATGATGACGGTGCCTCTTCCGCACCACTTGGACCAATAGAAGGTTTGACGTTTGATTTCAATATCAGTAGTACCTTCATCCGTTGGAAAAAGAGTAAATAAGCCTAAACAATAATTCACTCATGTATGTTCAAGTGCTAATCTAAGTTTTTTTGGAGCATTGATCTTTAGTGTATTCCCCAACAATTAACTCCTCAATGATAGATTTGGACCATGCAATGCACATATTTTGTTTATTTTCTAATTAATATGTTACATATAATTGTAGAGGTTGTCCATCTTTATTTTGTTTAGGGGTCATCTATATTATTAATTTTAAAGTATATTTTGGGTTATAACCTTCTATTTTATAATATTTGCATAATTAAATCTTTGCTTTTAAAATAAATAAAAACTTAGATTAATTTTGTTATTAAATCAAAAACAAATCAAAAATTAAAAACTAATATTAATCACATTTAACAAAATTTCCAAAAATCTCTCTCTAATAAATCAAATTATCATCTCTACAGAGATCTATGATGCACTATATTTTGTCATCATCATTTTATAAAAAATATTTAAGTCTGAAATAAAATAAGTTAAATGAAAGATGTTATGTCATCATTATTTTGTTATTTTGGATATTAGATATATTTAGTTAAGTTGATTAAATTATGTCTATATAAAAAAAAATTCATGTAGTATTCCACAGGTTAAATTATAGAATTAACAATTAAAATTTAATTGTATGATCTTAAATACTAAAAAACATTTATAATCAAATACAACTTAAAATTTAAAAATTAGTTACAAAAATTTTTAGTCCATAGTACCGCGAGTTAAGTCTTATAATTAACCATCAAATTTTATTTACACAGTCTTAAACACTAATTAGAAAAAACAAAATTAACAAATATAACTTAAAATATAATCTTTTAAGTATAATAAAATCATCATGCGGTGTATCACGGGTTAAAACCTAATTCATTCTTATTTTTGTAGTCATTTGGGCATTGTTTATGTATGATTGTTTTAAAATTACATAAAGATATTTAAGATATCTTTAAGATATTTATGAACCTACGGATAATATAATGTGATAATCTTTAAGATATTTATGAACCTCCGGATAAATAAATTAAATTATTTTTGATTTGATTAACAAAAAGGGAAATACTACTTTCTATACACAATAGAATGAAATATTAAGTATTTGACATTAGTTTTTTGAAATTGAATTCTTTCTCATAGCTACTGTAAATTACACAAAATACCCTATGTATAGTAACAAATATTTTAGCAATATAACAAAATAAATATAAATTATATATTTTTGTATCCAGCATTTTGTCAGCTCTTTTCAACTTCGACAATATGATATTATGATTCAAAACGATAATAAATGATTTAACACGATAATTTTGAATTTACAATATAACTTGTAATTTTATCGCCATAAAAAATGATTTATGAGAATCTTTGAGAAATGCCCCTTTTGGTGTACCCCTTTTTAAAAATACCCCTCTTTTCTGTCTATTTTCAAAAATACCCATTTTCAAATATGAAAAATTATTAACTTTTATATGGTTGATAAGGTATATTAAGATCATCATTACTATTAGGAGAATAAATCCAAATATTTATAAGGTTTTAAAAGTTTCTAAACGGCATTTATAAGGTTTTTAAAAGATATTTATACCGTATTATGAAATATATATATATATGTAAATTTACACATATATAAAGATAATTTGTGTCTATAAATATAAGCTTACAAATATTTTTTTGTTAAATTTCAAATTTTGTAGTGACTTTTTTATAAAATTAGAAAGAGGGGTATTTTTAAAAAGTGGTATTGGAAAAGGGGTATTTTTGAAATTCCCCCTTTATACTGCTAATAATTATTTAGCATATTAAGTTACAGAATAATATCACAAAAATGATTTGCTATATCGTATAGTGAATAGTGTCATCGATTTCGGATGAACAATTTCAGAAATTTGATAATTTGATAATTTGTTATTTATATTCATAAGGTGTAGTGTATAATTTATCACTTTAAACGTATTGTTAACTCGGTGTTAAAAAAAAAAAATGTATTGTTAACTCGATAATTATATAGTTATCCATAATTATAAATTATAATAATTTAATGGGTTAGCCAAATGGTTACATACAAAATTACAAAAATGTTTTGTTATATAGTTGTTGAATAGTGTTATATCCATATTTGTTATTGGTTAACATATAACAGAGTAGTTAAATGTTATATAATCTATCATTTCTAATTTTTATAGTAACTTTTGTGGAAGTGTGGTAAAGTTACTTTTGTCATTAAAATAAAGAGATGGGAGAGAACTAATTAAAAAAAAATTAGTGTTAGAAACCTAATAAACTGGTCTTCTATGTATATAGATTAATTTGACTTTAACATAAATGAGTAATGGAGTGGATTAGATTTACTGGTTAACATATTTAAAACATTGTTTTACTGAAATAAAATTTATATTAAAAGTTCAACCGTACGGGTAATTATGGTTAATCAACGGTTACGGTGAATAGCGGTTACAGTTAATATTTCTCTATAACCATGTTAGATTTTATTATTACGTTTAAAGGTTACAGTTTTTAACAGGTTACGGTTGAGAAACAGTCCTATTACGGTGAAAAATACGGTTACACTAAGATTTTGGTCATGCCTTTTACCAAAAACATCAAAAACTATACGGTTACACTTAGATTTTGGTCATGCCTTTTACCAAAAACATCAAAAACTTTTAACTTCTCGTATTTGAGTATCTAGGGCTGATACAGGCCATGGTAGATAAATCGTGTAGGAGAAGAAACCCCCGCTTTAAGAAAAGGGGTGGTTTCATTTTGAAAGTTGATCCCCTGAATCAACCCAAACCCTTCACTTGCATAGCAAGCATCTCAAGACAATACTACCCTACTCTCTCTTTAGTCTCAAAGAACTTTCGATCTCTCCTTGCTTCACCGGAGCTTTACCAAACCCGATCTCTCTTACGCGTCGCCGAGAGTTGTCTCTATGTGTGTATTTACTTCCCTACTAAGACTGAGACTGACCCTTGTTGGTTCACTCTATGTCGGAAACCTAAACGAACCCTAGCTGAGTCAAGTGGCTATCTTTTGGTC